TTTTTTTTTTTTCTTTTGAGACAGTCTCAAGCTGTTGCCCTGGGTAGAGTGCCATGGCATTATGATAGCTCACAGCAACCTCTACCTCTTGGGTTCAGTAGATCCTCTGGCCTCAGTTATTCTATTTTTAGTAGAGATGAGGTCTTGGTCTTTCTCAGGCTGGTCTTGAACTTGTGAGCTAAGCAATCCACCCACCTCGGCCTCTCAGAGTGCTGGGATTACAGGTGTGAGCCACCATGCCTGGCTTCAGCAGGGTGGTTCTTATTTGTCACTGTCTCTGTTGATGACCTTCCTACTACCATCACGCCCCCTTCTGCCAGCAAGGTCACAGCATGGATTTTCAGTCGCCTGTTCATGTGTATTGGTCTTTGCATTATTGTGCTTACTTAGTGATTTATTGTACACATTAAAATCCTTGTCGCTAAATCCAGTATCTGGGTCTTCTCAAGAGTATGTCCCATTGATTTTCCTTTACTCTGAGTAGGCTGGTCATATTTACTTGTGTGTTGGTAACTGTGGGTTATACTGTGACAATGCAGACAGCATACTGTAGCTATTACAGATTCAGTACATTCATCTGAAAACAGATTTTTTGGTGTCAGGTAGCTGCCAAGGCTGACCTCACTGCCTGCTCAGTGGAGGGAGCCAGGGTGAGAGTGAGAAAGAGGCCTTGTCACACCTGCCTCAGGGAAGGGATGGTTACTTTTGTCAAATGGTTTATTCTGTGTATCATTGAGATGGTCACATTTATCTTTACACTGTTAATATTGGTCACATTGGCTTTTGATATTCAACTGTGTTATCTTGAGAGAAACCTCATTTTCTCATAGTGTATTACCCTATATATATTGCTGGATTTGACTTGCTAATATTTGAGGATTTTTTTGTACATATACTTAAAAGGTAATTTGTAATCACATTTTCTTGTAATGTCCTTGCCACATTCTCTTGTTATGGATTTTATTTTAGTAATTTTGTGGTTTGGGCATTAATTTTAAAATGACTTGCAGATGGCTCCATTGGTTATAGCACTGAATGGTTATAGCGCTGGCCACACACACCTGAGGCTGGTGGTTTGAACCTGGCCTGGGCCAGCTAAAACAATAATGACAACTGCAACAACAAAAAAATAACTGGGTGTTGTGGTGGGCGCCTGTAGTCCCAGATACTTGGGAGGTTGAGGCAAGAGAATTGCTTAAGCCCAAGAGTTTGAGGTGCTGTGAGCTATGACACTGTGGCACTCTAGGTAGGGTGACAGCTTGAGACTCTCAAAAAAATTAAATAAAATGACTTGCCTTTGCAACATTATTGTAGACATATAATGGACTTTAATGAAGGCAAAAGTAGACTTGAGGTACTGGAGTAACAATTAGTGAAATGTGATTTTTTAAAATAGCCCCGTCTAAGGGAAACATCTGTAAAGCCGCACCTCTTCCTCCAAACACCTGCTAGGTAAGCTTACTGCAAAAGTTCACACCACCACCTTGGAGTTTCCATCCTGGCCACCAGGCAGACCACAGATTGTCTGTGTAAGATCTTTCTGAAGGTGAGTTTGACTCTTCTTTTTTGATTGAAACAGAGTCTCACTCTTACACCCTGGATAGAGTGTTGTAAGCATCATCATAGTTCACAGAAGCCTCAAATTCTTGGGCTCAGGTAATTCTCCTGCCTCAGCCTCCCAAATAGCTGGGACTATAGGTACCCACAATGCCTGGCTAGCTTTTCTATTTTTAGTAGAAATGGGGTCTCGTTCTTGCTCAGGCTTGTTTCAAATTCCTGAGCTGAAGTGATCCACCTGCCTTGTCCTCCCTGAGAGCTGGGACTATAGGCAT